AGGAGCAGCTGTGTTATCTTACAGTTTCACACCTGTACATATACCTGACCTATATGTTACACGGTACTGTCGGATCAGCAATGGACTGAAAATCACAAGGGGAGCAGTTTAAACCCACCTGCTGGTGGGATTACGGACATCAGAGGTCACTCTGATGAGGGTTCAGAAGGCAGTGAGGAGGGCTATAAAAATGGAGATGGTACAGAGGGTGAGGGGCAGGGGCTGAGAAGTTAGTCACAGAACTAGGAGACCCACACAAGACGCACGGGAGCTGACTCACGGAACAAGAGAGCTGAGCGCCTCAAGGTCAAGGCAGAGTGGGGTGCCTCTGGGTACTTGGTGGTGGATTTAGACTCTCTGAACCGTGGGTGAGAAAGTTGAGGGGTTTCTGGTTAGTGCCAACTGCTGTAGTGGGGTGCGCCTGAGCATCTATCAGTAGAGCTAATGAACACCGTAACGCTGGCTGGAGCAGAGTGGAGACCAGGGGGCCTCTTCTAGAGACCACTGGACCTGGGGTCTCAGTCTTAACAGGTGGGGCTCTCAAAATTGGAACCACAACCTCTGGGTTTCTCTGAGGATAGGGCCACAGTTTCCGAAGTTTCCAAGAGTTGGATCTTCTTCACCAACTCTGGTGTGAGGAAGTGTGGGTTCTGGTGAGTCGGGCTGTAGGGCAGGGGTACCATGTCTGAATGGGTGGGGTTGCCTCTCAGAGGGACTAGGAGAATGGCAGCTGAGGGAACAGAGCTGTCATCCCAGTGGGCCTGGAGGGCAGAACTGAAACCCTGGACCCAGAATCCAGAGTGTAGGGCCTGGATGGTCGCTCAGGGCAGAGGATGATTTCAAACCTTGAGGGTGAATGTAAAATTGTTCTGCTGGATTTAACTTGCTTGCTACTTCAAAAAGTTCACGAAAAATGGAATGAAAAGATAATGGATGTGTTTCATGGACTTTTCGAAGCCCCCTCATGTATGTGTGTATGTGCATATATGTTGTTACTGTTGTTGAGTGCTGCCGAGTTGGTTTCAACTCATAGTGACCCCATATAGGGTTTCCAAGGAGCAGCTGGTGAGTTTGAGCCACCGACCTTTTGGTTCAAACCGACCTTGCAGTCCTGTGCTTGATTTTGATTAAGATAGGTTAATTAAGTTTTAATTGCTTTGGGTTTGTTTTTGTTGTTTTTTCCTGAGTGGAACTGTGTTTATATTTCTCCTAGACAAAGACCTAAGAGTGAATTGCTGGGTCATCCTTTAAGACAAGTATTTGAAAGACTGACCAGTGCTTATCCTACAGTGGTACACTCAGAACTAGAAAAGAAGATACGTGGCTCCTTGGAAACTCTATACAGGGTTGCTATGGGTCAGAATTGCTTCAATGGCACTTAACAACAACAACAACATATATATACATTCACACACACACACATACATATTATCAGGAGGGACCAGTTGCTAGAGAAGGATGTAATGTTTGGTAAGGTGGCGGGCCAGAGAAAAAGAGGAAGACCCCCCCAATAAAATGGATTATAGCACAGTGGTGGCATTAATGGGCTTAACTTGGCAACAATTGTGAAGTTGGCCCAGGATCAGTCAGTGTTTCATTCTGTTATACATACGGTTGCTATGAGTCTGTACCAACTCGATGGTACCTAACAACAACAATAACAACACACACACACACACATATTGGAGTAAAGTGGCTCTGTAGGATAAGCACTGGACGGAGAACTATAAGGTCAGTGGTTCAAGCCCACCAGTCACTCCTTGGGAGAACCATGAGGCTTTTTGCTCCCCAAAAGATTAAACAGCCTTGAAAACCCTACACAGGCTAACTCATCAGCGATTAACAACAACATATGTATAAATACATACGCACACATACATAAGGTAGCTTCAAAAAAATCATTGAATAACTCCGTTATTTTTTCATCCTATTTTTCCATGACATTTTTGAAGCACCAAGCCAGTTAAATTCAGCAGAACTATTTGCATATATAAATACACGCAAGGGGGCTTCAAAAAGTTTGTGAGGACTTGGAATTGAATGAGAAGCTAATGGCTACAGAGAACAATTCTAGTGATGTACATAGTGTGGTCAATCATTCAAGATCAAAAGGGCAGCCTTTACCCACGGAAGAGCTCAGAAGGGTGGGGAAAGGAGAGGAAGGGAAACCACCAGAGGGAGGAAGTGGGTAAGTGATGTTTCATGGAGGGAACCGCAATCATTGAGATGAATCGAAATGTAAGATCTGTTGAGCGTAAAATTGATGATCTGCTCTGTAAACCTTCACAGAATTCACAATAAAAAGTAAAAACAAAAGCTAATGGATACATACACACACAGGCACATGGGAGAGAGCTTCAAAGTTTGTGGAAATTTTTCATTATCTTTTAATCCCATGTTTCCACAAACTTTTCCAAGCTCCCTTGAATTTCATTTTAGCTAGTAGACAAGCAATTAATCATTCCCCCCAGGAATTTAGTTAATAACAATGTATCAATACTGGCTCTTCATTGGTAACACATGATTTAAAATGTAACTAACAGGGGACCCCTGCTAGGCCAGTGGATATGGGACTCTAATTTCTGCACAGTTTGTCTTTTAGCCTAATACTGCATGGTGCTAAGAAATAGTCTATTAAAAAAGAAAAAAGAAAAGGGCAAAAGGAAACGTCCCCACAAGAAGGTCTAACGATGCAGCCTAGACAAGTCTCCTAACTTCAGAGACCCATGTCCAACTGCCTACTCCATGTGTCCCTGAAGCACCTATGGACACCCAGACTGACATTAACGCTGGCATTCAATCCAGCATTAGGTCATCCTGAGTCCCCAGGTACAGTTTAGGTGTGGCTTTGGCATTGCCACCTTGAACTCACACCCATTTCCCATGCAGAGCCGGCTGCTACTTGATTATTTTTATACCTGATCATCTAGAGATAGGTTTTCATTTTGAGGAGGGACTCATAGTTTCCCCAGACTCAAATTCATTGTGGGACTTGGGACTTGACAAGAACACAAGAATCACAGGTTTGAACAAAATATATTGTGAGAAATTCTCAAGATGGTCCATCTTCAGGAATCAAGGGCCCAGGAGATTGCTAGACTAGATGTAGATTGTGGATTCACATAGCAACAGCCGCCTATGTTCCTGGACTATGTGAACAGGATGAATTGCGGGGAGGGGGGAACTTTAAATAATACAGTCATGAAGGGTACAGGCAGTGTCTCAGGGAAGATTTTAACCCCAAAGTACTCACTCAATGAGGAAATGTGGAAGGGACCTTCTCGGAATAAGATAAAATTCTAGGCCAGCCAGCCACGTGGCTCATCTATCTACCTGTTATCTCTGGGTCTGGTGCCCGATTTTGCAAAATCGAATAAAGAAAACCTCACTCTAGCTAAAATGAGTACAGATTGGCTTTCTTGAGTGTTTGTCATTAAGCACTCTTGGTAACTCATCGGTGACGTCATAACCAAGAGGAACTGAGGCAGCATCCGGGGTATCACTGGGGTCCCTACTCCCCCTACCCTAGTACCCTATCTGACCTACTAGAGAACATGACCTGCTGGGAGAGAAGGCCCAGGGCCTTGGGCAGAGCCCCAGAGACCCTCTCCAGGGAAGGAGGTGCCATATAAAACCACTGTGTCCATCTTCCTGCCTAATTGAATCCCTGGGGACAGCTCTCAGTCCAACTGCCACTATTCTGGGGCTTGTCTGTAGGTATTTGGGGGGAACCCAGGCTGCAGGCTGGCCTAGGGAAACTGAGGCTCTCCACAGTTGGAGAACTTGGTGGCCCTAGAAGTGTCTCCCCTACACGAAGTGGTACCCTGTGTAAATGGGGAACTGGGAAGGGAGCCACTGTCTGGGATGGAGCCCCAGAGATGGCTGGTGGCCAGCGGGCATGGAGCCTTTGGACAGGAAACAGCTCCCCACACCCTATCAAAGTCTGGCTGAGTGAATGTGAAGGGCAAGGTCCACTCTTGTGAAGCAGACCGACGGCATGTGGAGCATGGGGGTGGAAATGGGCCTTTCCTGGGTGGGACAGGGGTGGGGGTGGGGCGCACGGCGGGGCTGGTCTCTGAGCAGCGGAAGGGACACTTCCTCCCTGGCCAGAGTTCAGGTCTCCTCCCAGGAGAGGTAGGGGGAAGGGCGACGGATCCAGTCTTCGGAGTTGTGGAGGAGGTGCACGCCTAGGGGTCTCTGGGGGCACCACAAGAGAGAGCCTGGGGGCTGGAAAGGCCCCCACCTTGGAGAATGCAAAGCTGGGGGCCAACCTCTCACTTCCCATCAGTAGCTCATTATCAAAGTGGGGAAACTAAAGCAAGATGAGGTGACCCACCCTCAGTCACCTGGCCAGACCCCGTTCTCCTGGCCCCTGCTTGGAGCCCCCCGCCCAGGGTCCACCACCTGCAGTCTCCGGGACAGCTGGGAAGGGGTTCATTATTTCAGAGACGGAGGCTGGACGGGTAGAGTGCAGGGACCACACAGGTGCGGGGTCATCTCCTCTGTCCTCCCACCACACGTGACTGCTAGGACCACTCCCTAGACTGCGCTCAGGGGGCGTCCTCCAGAACTCCGGGTTCGGCTCAATAGCAGCTCAGCAAATACCCATTCCCAGATCGAGGCCCACGTGTCGGCCCCACCCCGGCCGCCTGATTTCCTTTAACTCCAGCCCAGTTTCCGTCAGCCCAGGGCTGAGCGCTCACAGACCACCCGCCTCAATCCTGGGTCCCGACTCAGATCAACCGGGACTTCAGTGCGGTGTGGCAGCGCCCTCTGCCGGCCACGCCGCGCTCTCCACCCCACCCCACCCCTGCCTCACAACCGCCCCCGTCCGACCGCGCGTCCCGCCCCCTGCCGATCGCCCCACCCCTGTCCACGCAGCGCGCCCCGCCCAGTCTCCCTCCGAGTGGGCTCAATCGGAGCAGATGCGAAAATCCAGGGCCGGAGAGGTGGGCGGGGCCCGGAGCGCGCGGCCCGGCCCCGCCCCACCGGTCACTCACCCGTATGCAGCGCTCAGGGTCCCGCCAAGTAGGGATCCGAGAATGAGGCCGACGCCGAAGCAGAGGCCCAGGCTTCCCAGGGCCACGGGCCGCTCTTCTGGAGGGGTCAGGTCTGTGATGACCATCTGGGCGGCTGCAGGCCGGACGCGGGTCTTAGCGCGCTATTCGCACGCAGGCTCCGCTTCGTATCGGCAAGCCCCTGCCCGCAGCACCCCTCACCCCGACCCCTAGGTCAGGCCTCGCCCCCAACACCCTCCCTTTCCC